ACACACACACAGACACATAGCAGAGGGTTAACCAGACCATGAAATGAATCTATTACCCAAACAAAACTTTTGAGTCAGACATGTTATGATGTTATGCTATATTTTTGTGCTGTAAGTATTTTGGTGCACTACTCATGTTCTCACCCCCAAGAAGCCTTGGCTGCATTATTTAGAAGCTGTGAACAACCAACTAAACCACTGGAAACACACAGCCCAGTTAAATAGCACAGTTTTGCTTTTGAGAGTGACGTGAGCAATGTGAGTGATGCCGAAGCGAAAAGTTAGAGGCATATAGAGGTAAAGACATATTAAAGACTTTAGATATGACTCATGAAACAAGTGCAGTTTGGGTGTAATTATATTCATCCTTAAGACATTGTTCTCTCTAATTCCAACCATCCATCCGTCTTACCTCCTCCCCAGGTTAATGGGGGACACAGGGACACCCCAGCTGTGCCTCCGAGATGTTGACATGGATCTGACCAGAGTAGGAAAGCTGTCCAGGTCGGGCTCTCCCTCTGAATCCATTGTGGGTTGCTCCTTTACTTCCTCTGGTTCTGTTATTCCTTTTGCTGTCTCCATTGATCCCAACAGTCCATTCAGATTAATTGTCAAGCTAAACCCTACTGCAGGGCCAGAGGAGTCACCACTGTCAATGATACAACCTGGCAGTAACTTAGGACTAAGCTGAGTGACTACAAAGTTGTGATGACGTTCTTCTGCAGGATTTATATAGTAGGGGGGAGGTGATGCATTGACCCGAGGGGAGTGTGTGGTCAAACAAGTCTGTACGGCTGGGTTGGTGACAGGACTGTCTGTGTTTAGGGACACCTGTAGGCCAACAGTTAAGGTATTGCTCTCTGGGACCGTGGATGCAGTAGACTGTGATGCCGGTATCCCCTCTTCCAGGTCTTTAAAGTACTCAGAGTCTCTGAGAGAAGAGCTGAGGCCCAGCAGGTCCTCCACACTGTTGCTCACCTCCGCACAGGGGCAGTCGTAATCACTGACTACTGAACACGCATCCTGCAAGTCAGCAAGGGAGGCGAGGAAGCAGAAAGGAGCCGACGTGGAGCCAATAAAAACAGAGGGGAGAGAGGAGAAAGAGGGTTGACATGGAGAACAGAGAGGAAATAAACAAGATATTCTGAACATCAGCTGCTATCTAAAATGTAAGTAACCCAAAACTAGCAGCTCTGTGAGGCTGTATTCACGCTTTTTGAGCTTAATGCTTATATCAGTATGCTCAGTGACAATGCTAACATGCTAATCTTCAGCAGGTATAACATTTACCATGTTTGTCATCCTTTGTAAGAGGGTAAGCATGCTAATATTTTAGTTTAATTGGCTCTAAACACAAAATATGAAAATATGGAAATGTTATTAGTTGTATTTGGTCATAAACTAAAGTGTTGTGTGTGAAATATGACCTTATGATTGCACTAGATGAAAGGTTAAAGGATCAAAGTTTTTACACTTCATCCTCTGGGGATATGAATGTCTGAAGCAAATGTTATGGCAACACATCACACAATAGTAATGGATTAATTTTCTATAAAAAACAAAAATGTTAATCTGATGGCAGCGCTAAATGAAAAGACAGGGGATCACAAAAGTAATGAGGAGTCATCATCTGGGAGCGATTAACCTCTGTACAAAATCTCAATCCATCCAATAATTGAGCCATGACGCTAGCATGGCTAAAAAAGGAAGGGAAAAAAAGAAAGAAAGATGATTCAAGTGAAGAATATAGAGCTTTACCTGGTCTTCATTGGTGCTACCAAAGAAGACGTCCTCAGCGACTGAGGCAGGGGATAGTGAGGAGGAAGATCCTGTCCCACTGGAAACATAAGGCTGGACACTGAGCTGGGCACTGGGAGGCCCACAGGGCTGACTGCATGGCTTGCACTCTGATGCTGAAAGATAATGAATGTGGGTTTTGTGAGTTATAAACATTTCCCAAAAATCTAATAACTTCACCAGGACCACGAGGAGAAAAAGAACACAAAGAAAAGGCAGACGTAGCTGATTTCAACAGCTGCACAACACCTGTGTAATCAATTTGGTGTATGAAGAAAAGCTCAGTTACAGCCCCTGCTACAGCCTCTCACTCAAAGCTCCTTTACGTTTCCATTGCATAAACAGATTCCTGGATTCACATGTTGCCACAAACCACTGTCACCACTGCAAACTGCTTGGCCAGCCAGCATTAGTCTCCATGTCAGTGGTGGAGAGCTGGAGATTATTCCCTCACTAAGCCCTCATTGGCCTGTGAAGCTGCTTGCCCGTGGTATATAATGTATTATATCATAGTAAGTACAGGCTATATGAGGGAAATGTACATACAGAGGCAACTATGGAGTTTGATATCACATATTTAAGATAAAAAGTGTGTAATTGTAAACGTGTCAGTGTCTCGTGGTGTCTGAACAGTCTGTTAAGACGTCTGAGTATGTCATGTTCACTGTTAGGGTTTCAGCCACACCATGCCCATCTGAGGAGGGGAGAGCCACAGCTACAACAGGTTACATAAGCCTCATTTCATAAGGGACGCCTCCTGTGAACCCGAGCCTTAGCCTAAGCCAGCCTGGCTCCACAGGGGCTGACTCAATTCTCCTTGAATAGATTTGCTTTGTTTCTGTTCCCCTGTACAAGGTTAACTTTCTGATTCAATATGACCACGTAAACAGGTATCATATATTATATATTATATAGACTATCTGGATTATAAAGCAGAAACATAAACAGGAGTATACTTTATGTTGTGGAGTACAGAAAGAATAGAACCATTGAACTGAGAGAATCTAATTCATTTTCTCCTTTAAAGCTGCACTAATTTATTTGTTTTACCATGAAGCAGCATAACAAGCTTTAAACACTATATTGAAATATAAAGTTCCTGGTGTCGTTAACTGTGTTTGTCTGCTGTTTGGTGCTGGACAGGTATTGTACAATGGGTCAATCAGGCATTATTTCCCTAGAAACAGCTGCCTTCTGCTGCTGGAAACCAGGTTGATGAGCTGTGAGACAGTAAATGTGCTAAAAGGTGCTAAAATGCCTTTGTGGAGTAACCTTTTTCACATTACAGTCATTTGATATGTTTGACGCCTTTTTAAAAAAGAAAAATATATTATATACCATAATTGGATACATTGGACTATGGGTATATCCTGTATGTTGCTGCCTCTACTTTTAAACCATAGAACATTATCACTCACCACTGTGAGCTATATGAAAAGCTCAGATGGTCATCACTGACATCCAGAAGGCATCAGTATCAGGTATATAAAGATCCCCTGCAGACATGTATTAAAACATATATAAATAGTCTGTTTGGAACAATAATGTGTGTCTGGTTTAGTTTTTTTCCACCAAAAAAGTTTCCACATTTAAATCCTTAAAAAGGCATTTATTCCTTCTACCTCATTAAAAAATCAGGAATCTATGAATATGCTAAATTTGTTCATTTCTAAAGGGTTCCTGCTGAGCACAAGATGTCTCCTACGTCACTGTAAAGCCCATTCTCAGTGAAGAAAAGCATATTTTTGAGTGGAGAGGGACTTATATCTGAGACACCTTACATCACAGCATAGATTAAATTCCTTCCAAAACTCTGAGCACATTTATTCCACTTCAGCTTCTCCTTGCAGATAATTCTTATAATATATGTGTGTGTGTGTGGCTCACTCACTGTCTGGTTGTTGTGATATGTAGGAGACCTCAGGTAGTGTTGTATGGTGAGATAAAATACAGACTGGCCACACTCTGAGTCTTACACCATGTCCTGCTATAAACCAGCAGCATCCAGTCCCCTCTTCAGTGCGACAGCCAGAGATGCTCTCACATAAACACACAGATACACTGTAGATCTATTTTCTATATTACTAAATCACTGCATGAGGCTGCAGGGATGGCAGTGTCCCTGCTGGATGGAGAATTTGTTTGCGTCCAAATCCCACTCGTGTTAAGTGTAAACTTAGACACTCGGTACAGACACCGCAGCGGCTGCTTGATGCTGTCTTGTAGTGCCGCTTTAGCCTTTTATGGTTGGCCTCTCATATCTGCTAATGCATCACACAAGGATGAAAAATCAATGTGTGTGCGTGAAAGTGTGTGTTCAGGTGTCTCCCTAATCGTTTTGGCACCGTCATAGTCAGCTGTTTTCCCCACAGTTTGGCTCCACATAACAAAGGGTGGTCTGCTACTAAAACTATTGTTTGACTATTATCAACTAATAAATCACCAAATAACATTAACACCTTGTGCAAAACTCTTCATTATTATTTAATGCTTACTCAGTATAATACTTTATGTACTTTATATTACTTTTATTTATCGGTTTAATATTCTTCTTCTTTTCTCTACATTGTAAGTGCACTCCAGTAAATTCTGTCTAGTCTGTACATGTGGCACACAGCATGTCGCTCAGTCTCAGAAGAGGGATCCCTCTTTTTTTTTTTTCTTCTCTTCAGTTTCTAGCATTTTTCCTCTTGTTAACTTTAACTTTTTACTTCCAAATCAATGGTCTAAGGATAGATTGTAAAGTCCTCCTGAGTTTTGATGTTTTTAAATAAAATTGACTTTACTTAGCTTTAAAAATGCCTTACAATAAATAAACCATTATACAGAGTTTGTGCAACTTAAGCAGTTTTTTAGTGGAAAACATTAAAACATTATGTTTGTGAGGATTGGTCTTCTGAGAAAGTTATTAATAAATGCTCTAGAGGTGCTCTTATTTCATTTTTTAAAATGATTCATCATGTTTAGTATTTTGTAAAAACAACTGAAGAACAGTAATTCAAACAAAGTAAACACTACTTAAATGACAAACTTGTGTGCCACAGTATATAAGCCTGTTTGTTTTTAGTATTATGATTGGCTTTGGGAGAAGGAAGAGATTTAACCAAATATGACATAAAGGAAATGAGTACACGTGTTCACCACAAAGCTGACTGTACGTTTGCAAAGCGACATGACAATCACAAGAGGAACTCAGGCATCATATGAACTGCTCAGTTGATTATTTACAATGTGCGTGATGAGTTATTACAAATGCAGCTTCTTTCAACAGAGACACTGGTACAATAAACAGTATCATTATGATGACACACACACACACTTAAAATGAGCACATATATTACCCAACTACAGAAACCACAGACGACAAAGTAAAAATCTCACTTGTAACTCATCTTACATAAATATATTATTGACTACTTCTGGGACACACAGTGTTTGGATTAAGGTCACGGTGATCATCCAGTACCTGGATGATTCCCGGACTGGTGTGCAAGTGTGTGTGTGTCTGTCATGTGAGTGTCTCTGTGTGTGTGTGTGTGTGTGTTGGTGGGTGTGTTGTTGTGTGTGTGTGTGTTGCACAGATGGTTGTGTCAAGGTGAAAACAGAACACAGAGGTTGTTAGATCTGAGGTCCGAGAGCACAGCATCAAACAACACTGTCATCTCCCAGAATACTCGCTTGGATCAGAAAATTCATCTGACTACTGTTTCAAAGCGCCGTGCTACACAGACCACTGCGTGAAGCAAAAAAAATGAAAGCGTCCTACGCGGCTTCTTTATGTCTAAAAGGGAACGTCATGATTTCTCTGAAGATAACACCAATGGGAACAGAGAGGCATGAAAACGATTCAAGTTGTAGTGTGTTAGCAGAGTGAGTTATGAGAAGACACGATGAACAGAAAAAATGAGTTGTAGAGTTGTATAAAGCCGTACTTGTCTTTTTCTCTGTGGACTTCCATAATGGATATACTTAAAAACTGAAAAACAAACACCAAATGCTGCACAAACATCATCTAACCAAACCCTTAATTTAGCAGTTTAACTCCGCAAGGTTACAGTGGCAGCACTATAGTAAAGTATGAAAGGATCATTTACAATTGATAATCAGAAAATACTTTTTAATCATAGTTCAGTCAAGGTGAACATTTTGTGCTTTTTTCTCATCATTAACAGTGCACCAGGGTAAGAAATGAACCTCACTGTTCTCATCTGGTACACTGCAACCGCACATACCACAAACCACAAAATGGGGTCAAAAATTGTAAAACAACAGCTAACACCACTCCTAAGGTCACATCGAGTCCACAACTTCTACTGGATGAACAGGCCTTGTCCACCCTTCTTCCAGTTTTACGCCAACTCCTATCTTCCCTCTGGTGCCATCCAGCAACCACGCTGAAGTGAAAATCTAAAATGTAAAACCAATTCTGCCCCCCCCCCCCCCCCGCCCCCAACCCAATACCTCTCTTGAAAGGACCGATTCTCTTCATCCCAGAGTTTGAAGAGGGCCAGGATGGTCAGAGGAGAGTCCGCCATAGCAGCAGCGCACCGGGGAGGGCAGCTGGAACTGGAGCTCTCTCCACACTGGAGCCCCTCCTGGCAAGCTGCAGCAGGAGAAGGGAGGGAACGAGAGGGCAGGGGGAGAAGGAGGGGACGGAGGGAGGGAGTTGAGAAAAAGAGAGAAAGAGAGTCCAAGGCAAAGAAACAGGGAGCTGCTGTTGGGGGATTACCTCCCTTAAAAGCTCCGCAGTGGGAAGAAAAAGGAAGGAAGAAAAAAAGGTACAGTGGGAAAAGAAAAGGAAGGCGTGAAGATTAACTTTTGCTTCTCCCTCCAAGGTTTGTGAAATGTTAAGCAGAAAAAAAACTTTTGTAGACATTTTATAAGGCAGTGGTGGAAAGTAAATACATTTAACCCAAGGTAGTGA